TTTTTTGTTTGTTTTTTGTTTTTGTTGAATCCTTATCTGGTTTTGGTATCAGGGTAGCACCAGCCCTGTAAAGTAAGTTTGGAAGCTTTCCCTCCTCTTCAGTTTTTTGGAAGTGTTTTGGAAGGAAATGTATTTAAGTCTTTGAATATTTGGTAGAATTCACTAGTGAAACCATATGGTACAGGACTTTCTTTTTTGAGTGGTTTTGATTACTGATTCAGTCTTCTTACTAAAAATTGGTCTATTCAGATTTGCTGTTTCTTTATGATTCAATCTTGGAGAACAGTGTTTCTAGGAATTTATCCATTTGATATAAGTTGGTCAGTTTGTTGTTCATAGTAGTTTGCTGTGATCCTTTGTATTTCTGTGGTATTGGTGTAACTTCTCTTCCATTTCTGATTTGATTTATTTGATCCCTCTTTTTTCCTTTGTGAATCTAGCTAAAGGTTTGTCACTTTTGTTTATCTCTTCAAAGAAGCAGCTCTTAGTTTCATTGATTTTTTTTCTATTGTCTTTTTGGAGTCTATTTCATTATTTTTCCCTTTGATCTTTATTATTTCCTTCTTTCTACTAACTTTGGTTTAGGTATAAAGTTAGATTGTTTATTTGATATTTCTCTTTTTTGAGGTAGGCCTGTATTACCATGAAATTCCACCATAGAATTGCTTTTCCTGCATAGGTTTGATATGTTATATTCTATTTTCATTTGTCTTTAAGTATTTTTTGAGTTTTCCTTTTTTCTTCTATCGCCCTGTGTTTGGCAGTGTTTGTTTAGTAATATGTTGTTTAACCACATATTTGCAGTTTTTCCACTTGTAATTGATTTCTAGTTTCATATCATGTGGTAAAAAAGATGCTTGATATGATTTCAATCTTTTTACATTAATTTAGTCTTATTGACTCTTGGTTTATGACCTAATGTGATCTATCCTGGAGAATTTTCCATGTGCTCTTGAGAAGGATGTGTATTCTGCCGCTTTACGGTAGAATGTTCTCTCTCAATAATTAGTAGCCCATCTGGTCTAATGTGTCATATAGGCTGATGTTTCCATATTGATTTTCTGTCTGGATGATCTATCCATTGATGCAAGTGGGGCATTAAAATCCCCTACTATGATTGTATTGTTTTTAATTTCTCTCTTTAGGTCTGTTAATATTTGCTTTATATATTTTGATGCTTCTATGTTGAGTGCCCATATATTTATGAATGTTATATTTTCTTGCTGAGTTACTCCTATGTTTATTGTGTATACCACTCATTGTCTTTTATTGAAGGCTTTGTTTTAAAGTCTATTTTGTCTGATACAAGTATAGCTACACCAGCTTTCTTTTCATTTCCATTTTATGAAATATCTTTTTCCATCCCTTCACTTTCAGTTTGTATGCGTCCTTCTGAAATGAGCCTCTTTTTAAAAAAGTTTTATTTTTTTATTTTTTTATTTTTGAGGCAGAGACAGAACAGAGTCGGGGAGGGGCAGAGAGAGAGGGAGATACAGAATCTGAAACAGGCTCTGACCTGGTAGCACAGAACCCAATGCGGGGCTCAAATTCACAAACTTGTAGTGATCATGACCTGAGCTGAAGTCGGACGCTTAACCAACTGAGCCACCCAGGTGCCCCTGAAATGAGCCTCTTACAGGCAGTATATCAATGTTTTATTTTTTTTTTTAATTCATGCAGCAACTCTGTGGTTTTTGATTGGAGAATTTAGTCCACTTATATTTAAAGTCATTGATACGATTAAAGTTAGTGATAGTTACGTACTTATTGCCATTGTTTTCTGGTTGTTTTATAGTTTCTCTTTGTTCTTTCTTCTCTTTCCGTCTTCCCTTGTGGTTTGATGGGTTTCCTGTTTAGATTCCTTTTTCCTTTTCTGTTATCAGTTTTTTGAGGAGCCTCCATAGTGTTTGCCACTGTCTCCTCACTTTGTATAGCTCTTGGTTTATTTCTACTTGTTAGGAAAGTCTGCTCTGTCTCCTGATCTTTAAAGTAGTGGCCTTCCTAAAAAGAAGTCTATGGTTTCCTGTAATGCAGTGCCCCTTCTTCAGAAGAGCCATATGCTGGTATGTCCTATGTGGGCTGCATGGGCCCTGCTATACTAGATGAGTCATATTTACTCTCAGTCTACTCAGTACACTTGCTCACTTTGCCTGGGTAATATTTGTATATTTGTTGTTAATGGGCTTGTCTGAGGACGTTGCAGGCTTGTAGTTGGTTGGTGTCATTGGACAAAACAAATGCCTCCTCTAACTCCAGGGCAGTAGTTGCACTAATCGGCAGGATGGTCTCCCTTTGCTCCCTCCTGAGAGACTTTCATTGGTGGATGTGGCCAGTACTCAGACCAGATTCCTGCCCCAGAACTTTTTTGGGGGTTGCAGTCACAAGGAGTTGCAGGACACTCTCGCTGTGATGCCCCCTGGGAGCTTTTTTTTGATGGGCAGGGCAGCAGTCAGATCACATGCCTACCCAAAGTCCATCTGCCAGGGCTGCAGTCATATCAAACTGCAGGGCACTTTTTTTGTAGCTGTCAACAGTAAGATTCAGCTGCTCAAATGTGGGGGCACAGTTGTATGTAGTCCTCTTCTCCAGGGCAGGAGTCACTTTGTAGTGATGCCAGCCACTGCCAGGGTTGACTGAAGGGTATGTGAGGGCAGGAGTGTCTTCAGAGGGATGCCTGCCAAGTAGGCTAGGTTGGATGCAGCAGATAGGCAAGAGAACTTGGGTGTGAGGCATGTGCTAGCAAGATAGGAGGAGATTATTCTGGCTCATTCCCCCAAGGGTTTGGCTATCTAGTCTGGGGTATGGGGGTTTGGTGGGGGTGGGGGGGGGATGCGGGGTGGGAATTGTGCTTGCTAGCAGTTGTTCTTGGAAAAGTGTCCTAAAGATCCCTGTTCCCACCAGCAAACATTCTGTGCTTAATAAATAAATGCCCTTCAGATATATCCCAGGTGCTATTTAAACTGCTGGCTCTTTGCTGGGTTATTTTTTATGCTAGCTCTTTAAGGGCAGGCACTGAGTTTTCTATGGCCCTCTGGCTCTCCTGGAGCTAAGTTCATTTTATAAAGTACCCAGAGTTTATACCCACTGATTGTAAAAACTTTCTAAATTAAGCTCCACTGGTTTTCAGAGCAAAATGTTATGGGGATTTGTCTTTCCAGTGTGGGTGCCCTGTGCCTGTGGTGCCCAGTATACGTTCTGATCCTCTCACCTCTCTGGGCTACTGGTGTCTGTCCTTTTTGTGGTCAGCCTCACCAAGTGTTTGGTTCTCAACTGCATCTTTGTCCCTCCTACCCTTTTTGATATGGCCTTCTCTCTGAGATTAACTGTGGAAAGTCTTCTCTGCCAGCCTTCGGGTCTTTTCAGAGTTAGTGTCCCAGGTATAGCTGTTATTTTTGTGTATCCATGGGATGAGGTGAGTCTAGGATCTTCCTACTTTGCCATTTTCCCAGTAGTTGAAGCCACATCTTTTTCTTTTTCTTCTTCTTTTTTAAAAATATCTTTTCAAATTAGTGTTTTTGGTTTCTTTGGGTAAATACCCAGTAGTGGCATTATTGGATGACATGGTATTTCTATTTTTAATTGTTTTAGGAGTCTCCACTGTTTTCCACAGTGGTTGTACCAATTTATATCAAAAAGTTTTTGGTCTCCTCTCTGTCTTCTTACTCTAAGATTCCTATAATGCAAATGTTATTATGCTTGATGATGTTGCACTGTTCCGTTAGCTTTTTCTCGTTTTCATTACTGTTTATTCTTTTTGTACTTCTGCTTAGTTACTTTTCATTACCCTGTCTAGTAGATTGATGATTCACTCTTCATCCTCGAATAAGTTCTTGATTACCTGTAGTGTATTTTTTGCCTCAGTTATTGAATTCTTCAGCTCTGAGTAGTTCTTTTTATATTTTCATTCTCCTTGTTGAAGTTCTCAATGTGTTTTTCCACTCTCTTCTCGAATCCAATGAGTATCTTTATGGCCATTACTTTGAATTCTTTATCAGACATATTGCTTACTTCCATTTCATTTAACCTTTTTATGCTGTGATTTTGCCTTGTTCTTTAATTTGGGACATATTCTTGTTTCCTCTGGGGTGGGGCATGCAGTGCTAGCAAGGTAAATGGAAGAGTGTTAGTGCTTGCTCCTGCAAACATTCAGCTTTCTATGTTGGGAGAGGGGAAGAGAAATGGCACATGCCAGCACTTTTGTTCCTAGAGAAATCTGCAGATCATTTTTTTCTCTAGCACATATTTAACATTAGTCAGTAAATCTTCACTTGTACCCCAGATGCTTTTTAAGACTGCTGCTTCTGTGTTATGTTTCAGGCCACAGTTATTTAGTATGCTGTCTCTTTAAGGGTAGGAACTGGGTTTCCTATCACCCTCAGGCCTCCTAGAGTTAAGCCCTGTTGGCCAGACTTTATGGGGATTTGTCTTCCCAGTGTGGGTTCCCAGTGAGGGGGATGCCCTAGTGATCTGATCCTCTTCTTCTCCTTGCTTGTAATGTCCCTCCCAGTTGTGGTTAGTTTTGTAGGAGGTTTCTTTCCCAACCATGTCTCCACCCATTTTTTCCTTTTTGTATGTGGCCTGTCTACAGATAGCCTTGGAATGTTTGTTCTGTCACTCTTCAGATCATTTTCACAGTTAGCACATAGATGTAACTGTGTCTGTGAGGGTAACAAGATACAAGGTAGGACACTACATAATAATAAAAGGAATAATCCATAATGAGAATATAACAATTATAAATATGCAACCAACATGGAAGCACCTAAATATATAAAGCAACTATCAAAAGACATAAAGGAAGAAATTGATAGTAATATAATAATAGTAGGGAGCAATAACACCGGACTTAAATCATCCAGTCAGAAAATCAACAAGGAAATAGTAGATTTCAATGACATTTTAGACCAGATGGACCTAACAGATGTATACAGGAGAATAGAGGAAATCTCTTAATATTAATTATTTATTCTGAATGTTCTTCCTTTTTTTCTCTTATGCAGATCCCAGAGTCATTAAGACATACTACATGGCAGAGACTGGGAAAAGGCAACTTAAGACAGATATTACATGTTACCAGGGTAAGATTAAGCAGATACTTCTATATATAACTCAGAAAAATTAGCAAATCCTTCAAGCATTTTCAAGTTTTGTATTTCTCAAATAATTCTTCTTTTCATTTTTTCCCCCTGTATACCAAGAGATGAATAAGAAATTTCATGTTTCTGGTCATAGAAATAGGGATAGATATCTGGATTATTTTTCACTTTTGGAGAAATCTGTCAGAATCTCTTGAGATCAGTGCCAGCTACAGTAACATTTTCAGAATGCTTTTATAAATGTAATATCAGCTTGTTGACCCTTAAAATTATCCTGGTAATTTGTATTTGACATATGGAATGCTGTAAGATTTTCAAATGAGTGAAAGTCCTCTACCTTAGAAGATGTTCAGATGGCAGAGGATCAAGGGACTCTATGCTTGATGCTTACTTTACTTGTTGATAAAGGTTATTTTTTATTGTTAATATAAGTGAAAGACAATGTCAAAATTTCTCCGTCTTCTAAATCTATACAGGCAATTCTCCAAGATAGAAAAAGGCTAGGAAATTAGAAGATAGTCTAAACTGTCTATTATTATTTTTTTTATTTTTGAGTACTATCTTTATTATTTCTGATTAACAATTATTTGCCTTTAAGGTACAAGGCATTGTTCTAATTTATGCAGAGGCTATAAAAGTGAATAACATTTCAAACTTTTGCTTTGTTGAAGACCTTATTATCTTGTGTGGTATTCATCAGACTCCTTGATATAATTTGTTGCTCAATCTTTTAGATGGAAAAAATGTAACAGAGACATTATCACACTAAAATTTATATTTTCATGGTTTCCTTTTAAAAATGATTTAAAGGTTGTTGATCCAAGAATCAATAACCCATTTATGGCAATATTTTTTATTCTCATCTGGTGCAAATAAGAAGGCACTTTTGGTTTTTGTGATTCATTTTCATAGCTTGACCCAAAGCTCATACTATTATGATTTCGCACTGATACACATTTGTGTTTGTAAAGAACTGTGTCCTTCATTAATTAATTATTGATTATTATAGCTACTGAAGAAGCATTATTATGTGTACTTATTTCATTAAGTATGTTTTGAGGAAAAACTGTTAATTAGCAAGCTTAAATTTTGAGCCTAATCTTTTTTTTTTTTTTTTAATTTTTTTTTAATGTTTTATTTATTTCTAGGAGAGAGAGAGAGAGAGCGTGAGCAGGGGAGGGTCAGAGAGAGAGGGAGTCACAGACTGAAACAGGCTCCAGGCTCTGAGCTGGCAGTCAGCACAGAGCCCGACGCGGGGCTCGAACCCATGAACCGCGAGATCATGACCTAAGCAAAAGTCGGACGCTTAACCGACTAAGCCACCCAGGCGCCCCTTGAGCCTAATCTTTACTGTCTTATTAACTATTATATTTTTCAAATGATTTAACTTTTATATTTCTCTAACCTAAGAATCAGTCTTAAGACCTTTTTTAAAATTTTGTTCTAGGCAAGATGTTTGCATATTTTCAAGGCTAGTTGAGAGTTTTATAGGTAGCTCTGTTTTATTTTATTTTTAATGTTTTTTTTATTTTTCTGAGAGACAGACTGTCAGCAGAGGAGGGACAGAGAGAGAGAGAGATACAGAATCTGAAGCAGGTTCCAGGCTCTGAGCTGTCAGCACAGAGCCTGATGCGGCGGGGCTCGAACCCACGAACCGCAAGATCATGACTTGAGCCGAAGTTGGCGCTTAACCACTGAGCCACCCAGGTGCCCCAGATAGCTCTGTTTTATAAGCGAATCTATTAAGCATTGAAATCTACTCTGCCCATGTGCAAGACACTGTGGTATAAGCCATGGGAGATACAAGGATAAAGGAGACTGTCTTAATTTCAAGAAACTTACCATGTGATAGGAAAGACAAAACATGCATACATATTACTATGGCATAAGATAGACAGTAAGCATTAAAAATACTCACATGAGCATACATAAGGAAAAGAATCAGTTATACAAAATGAACTATATTAAATTATAAAGCAAAACTGTATACAGTTCTGTGGAAAGCAAGTGGGATATAATTAGTTAACCATGGGATATTCTTTGCCAATGATAAACAGATTACATAGTACTATAGTAGCAAATGACAATAAGAAAGCTGGTATAAATCAAATAGAAGTGTAACATAAGTCAAAGGTTTTAAACATTAATTTCAAAAGCACTTTAGAGAAGGTGACTGCTACATGAATATTAGTTATGTTTCAATATTCTTTGTGTAAGTGTATCTGTAAGCTAATTGTGAAGGTGTTTTGCTTTGTTATGCTAGGCTAAAAGCGCCTATGAATTTGTATGTGATACATTCATTAGATTAAGCCAAGTCAGGGTTTAAAGATCAGAAATTCTGTAATAGCTAATGGACCACTTGGTATCATCTTCAACTTGGCTCTCTAGGCATGGGCACTGATAGAAAAGAGGACATGTTGGCATGGTCATGCAGGAGGAGGACTCCACACAGACCCAAAAGAAGGGGTAAGAGTGAATAAGAAGTAACTAAATATTCTTATACATATTGTACTTGCATAGAGTGCATGCACGTGTGTGCATACACACACACATTCAAGATTATTATCTTCCAGAATACTTTGATTGACTCTTATAACCACAAGTCTTCTAATACAAAACCTTATGAATTGACCATGGTTATATAGCTGAGACTTTCTTGGGCTTAAAACAAACACAAAATTTCATGATTGACTAAAAAAAGAAAAGAGTTATCAACCTAAACATTTTATATCTTTATTTAAAATACCATTGGGAGAAACAATGAAATCTGGCCATGTGTAGCAACATGGATGGACCTTGAGGGTGTTATGCTGAGCGAAATAAGTCAGGCAGAGGACAAATATATGTTTGCACGTATAGGAGGATTAGGAGGAACTTAGCTGAGGACCAAGGGGGAGAAGAAGAGGGGAAATGGTGGGGGAAAGGGAGAGAGGCAAACCATGAGAGGCTCTTGAATGCTGACAAAAACTGAGGACTGATGGATGTGGGGGGGAGGAGGGATGGGCATGGAGGGGGGCCCTTGTGGGGATGAGCACTGGGTGTTATGTGGAAACTAATTTGACAATAAACTATTTGTAAAAAAAATAAATAAATAAAAATAAATAAATAAAATTATAGCAAAAAAAAATAAAAGTAACACTCTGCTGAGATTCTGAAAAAAAAAAAAAACCATTGGTTGACATTATTTGTTATATAATCCAGCCTTATAAATAAATAGGTAAATACCATTGGTTGACATTATTTGTTATATAATCCAGCCTTATAAATAAATAGGTAAATTATATTTAGCACTTAGAAGCAGTGTGTGTATGTGTGTGTGTGTGTGTGTGTGTGTGTGTGTGTCTTTTGTGGTTAACATTTCCCCTTCTGTACACTTAGTTTAGAAAGGTCCTAGAATGTTCCCTAGTTAACTGAGAAATTCTCCATCTACATGATCCATTCATTTAATTATCCATATTCTTTTTTCATATTATTTTTTAAAGTTTTATTTTAATTCCAGTTAACATACAGTATTATATTAGTTTCAGGCGTAAAATACAATAATTCAACATTTTCACTTATCACCCAGTGCTCAGCACAACAAAGTGCACTCCACACCTATTTAACCCATTCCACCACCCCTTCCCCTCTGGTAACCATCAGATTGTTCTCTATAATTAAAAGTCTGTTTCTTGTTTTGTCTCTCTCTCTATATATATATTGTTTTTCCCTTTGCTTGTTTGTTTTGTTTCTTAAATTCTACATATGAATGAAATCATACGGGTATTTGTCTTTCTCTGATTGACTTATTTTGCTAAGCGTTATATTCTCTAATCCCATCCATGTTGTTACAAATGGCAAGACTTCATTCTTTTTGATGGCTGAATAATATTCCATTGTATATGTATACCACATCTTCTTTATTCATCAATCGGTGGACACTTGGGCTGTTTCCATATCTTGGCTATCATAAATAATGCTGCTATGTACATAGGGGGTGCATGTATCCCTTTGAATTAATGTTCTTGTATTCTTTGTGTAAATACCCAGTTGTGTGATTGCTAGATCTTAAGGTAGTTCTATTTTAAAATTTTTGAGGAACCTCCATGCTGTTTTCCACAGTGGGCTGCACCACTAGTATGTTCCTAACATACTAGTAGTTCCTAACACTACTAACGAAAGAATCAATTTTAAAGAATCAATTCATTTACTAATTAGTTAATTCCGTGTTTATAATAACATGAGTAATGAAGAACTTAAAATAAGGACTACTTTCCAGACTTTGCTTGACATACTCTTTTTTTTTTTTTTTTTTAAATGTTAGAAGCAGATCCGCATAGGATATAGTCAGACGCTAGTAGTGTTATAAGAGAGATTAAGATTTAGTAGAGCAGTCAGAGAGCTTTGGTATAAAACTTGATGTAATCAGAAGGGGTGGAACGGCAGATTGGAGTATTAAAAAGTTGGAGTCCTGGGGAGATAATGGAATAACAAATCTCTAGTCTTGTTCAACTGAACAGACACTTAGGCCAATGCATAAGAATACTTGGGTGACATGGAGAAACTGTTTTCTAGCTCTGATTTTATTCGTCATCAAACAGCCTTATGAACTTCATCTGATTTTTCCAATTCACTTCCCTTGGGATAGGGAATTAACTGACTGGCCAGTGTGACTATCAGTCAGCTTGTTATTTTTTTTATTATACATTGTTAAATTGACTGTTGAGCACAAATATATGTGATAAATACAATAAGCCATTTTAGGACCTTTTCACTGCTAGATAAACTCTTCATTTATAGTATCAGACCAATAGTGTATGGAAGAGAAACCTTAAGATAGAGAGGAATTAACAGTAATAGAGCTTTTCCTGATAATAGATCTTTCATCTCCCATCCATAAACATATTATATACTTATATTCCCCAATAATATTAGAGAAGTTTTTCAGTTACCCTCTCAATTTTTCCATTAGACATCTGCTCAACTTGCTTGTTTTTTGACCTTTTATCAAGCCACTGTTATTTCTAACTGTATTGAAGTAATGGTTGAATTTATTCCTTAAATTGCAATTTAGTTACCTTTAGCATGGATTGAAGAAGAGTTTTCTTCTCTGGACAATTTGCCTATCCATGAAATTGTGGGCATTTCCAAATTATTTGCTGCTAAATTGGTTCTTTGGGGAAAAAGCATTCAGTCTGTAGCATAACATTTATACAAAACAAATTGCATCCAAAATTTTTAGTATATATTTTTTTTCTTCCTCACCACAAATTTTACCCCTAAGTAGTTTCTTTATAAACTAGTCCCTTGATCTAGGATTAGAACATTTCTTGATATTAGAATTCAGGAATGTGATTTTTTTTCTTAAGGTAATCTCTATACCCAAGGTGGAGCTTGAACTCACTACCCCAAGATCAAGAGTCACATGTTCTACTGACAGCCAGCCATGTACCCCTGAATTCAGGAATGTCTTTGTAACTAGAATTCTTAGATAAATCCTGTATCAATTAGAGGAAAGGTTATTCTGTTACCTTTATCAAAAGTTCATTTTCTTTTTTCTTACTCTCTTATTATCAAAGCCAATTAGGCTACACACCCTTGGAAGCAATGGACTCTTGGTGGAAAAAATTGTTTTTGTTTCATTGCTGGATAACCTTTTCTGGTGAAAGATATGAAATTACTGACCTGAGAAACAAAACATGTATTTAGCTTATTAATAGGCAGTTTTCTTTAGTATCTTAAAATTCTATCAAGTGAGTTGCTTCAGATGTGTTTTAATTTTTTTTTTTTTCATTTTCCTTTTTGTGCCCGGCCCACATAGTTATTAGGTGTAGTGCTTAATGCCTATGAGTGACTACATCTCTCCCTCAGGTCACACTGTTGAATTCAGCACTGCTGCATATAAACATTGCAGTTTGTGGCCTTCCAGTTATACCCTATTGAGTCAAATGCACCCAGTTTTATTTATGCAGTTTGTTTTTGGCTCACTACATGGTGATTTTGCTGTTTCAGCTCCCTATGTACGAGTAGATATTCCTTTCATTATTTCTTTTTGTTTGCCTTGCCTCATAAGGCTTATGAAGCTCTGTATTAGTACCAAATAAGTAATATTTTAAAATATTTAAAAACCTGTTACTTAGATTATTAAGATGATTTAATAAAGTAATAGCTGTACCTCCTGAATTTTAATGACAATTTGTCCTCATGTGTTTAAGAATAAATCATTTATTAATTGAATATTTATTGAGTGTTGTTTCTGGTATCGTCTCTTTTTGTAGCACCTATTCTTTTTATGTTGACCCACCTTATTTTGAGTTACTTTCATCTCCTCTTTGACAGCTCTCTGATGTTCCCAAGTATTTTCTTCCAAACTTATCTTAGTGAGCCCATTTGAATTCCTTCTTACATTACTTTTATGATTTTTTTCTGAATCCGATTGATTTCCTATATTATGACAAGCTAATTCCAGTATATAGTTGAGACCTTTGTAAAAACTTTTATTCCTCAAACTAACATAGTACTAATTTTAAGGGGGCTTAAAATGTCAGTTCCATGTTTTAAATTTGAGGCTATTTAGCTATAGCAAGAAGGCTGCATTGTTTGTATATATTGTTAGCAAAGAGGAAAGTAGATTCACTCCTACTTGTGTAGGCCTTTTAACGATATTTCTATAGCATTCAAATTTAGAGAGCTTTTGTTATCATGATATGTCATCACAGGTTATGTTTTCATTTGGACCATTAATTTATTATTTTTGAGAGACAGAGAGCACAAGCAGGGAAGGGGCAGAGAGAGAGGGAGACAGAATCAGAGGCAGACTTCAGGCTCTGAGCTGTCAGCACAGAGCCCAGCACGGGGCTCAAACTCGAACTGTAAGATCGTAACCTGAGCCAAAGTTGGACACTTAACTGATAGAGCCACCCAGGCTCAATTACTATTACTATTTACTGTGAAAATGATAAACAGAAAAGTGAAAGAAATTTATGTTTTACGTGTAAAACTTCTGTTTATGTGTAAGTGAGGCTTAACTAAAAATTATTATGATTTCAGCCATTGGCTACTTCAGGAATTTTGACCCCTCTGAAAGAACTTCTTACTTAAATCATTTTTTCCCCTATACTGTGATTACTCTTTACACAGTAGATTTTCAAATAAGCCAATTTCTTGTTATCCTCCTTGATCATTTCCTATACTTTTTACCCTTTCTTTAAGAATGTGATCTTAAAAGGGCATGTATACTATTTGTGTTGCTTAGTCTGAAATGAAATTGGTTGGAAGGTGATTTTAAATTCAGTCTCAAGCTTGTGGCTTCAGATAACCCTTTTGTGTTTCAGGATTACCATTGTGTAGCCAATGTATGAATTATGGGTGTTCACCGTATGGTGATTGTGGTGATTTTGAAATGTGATATATGATCTTTCAGGATCTGTAGTGAGACCTCCCCATGTTATTCCACTCTTGTACAGCCAGAATGAGTTGGTTTAAAA